ATGTAATTTGGTATAAATGTTATTGGACGATGTATGGAGTTTAATACGCACCGTGCGCAAAGCATCATTTTTTTTGAAAATTTGTTTTTTATTAAAAATTGTTAACATTTGTTTAATTAAAATGTAATTGGTATAAATGTTATTTGAAGATGTATGGGATTCAATACGCAAGCGCGCGCCTGTTATGTACTTATAGTAGATTTAAATATTACAATGGATTGTAAAATATATAGATGCAAACAATTATATATTGATATCTTTATTTTTCTACTTGTTTATAAATATAACAAATTTCATATACACATTACACATATATAATATATATACGATATATTTTAAATTAAAATACGATTTAAATATACTATATTTATTAAAAAACATACTATCATTGGTCAACATTTACTAAGAAAATTTAATTTTTATTCAGAATTCTTTTCACCGGATTTCTCCATTTTCTGTAAAAAAAAATATTTGTTTCAACTTTAACATTTAATTGTGCCACGTTTTTCCGTTATCCGATCGAGCTCAGCTTTTACACAATTTTTTTTCTCACGAAATGGAACAACTTTAGGGAGCGTCGTGAAAAAAATTCGGAAAAAATTTTTCACCAAGTATAAATAAGATCCACCCTAATGTACGTATAATACACGTATAATAAATAAATTATAATAATATTTTTAATAATTATTTAATAAATTATATGTCTTTTTATCGGTTCAAGAACTGCAGTTACTTTTGAATTTTTTAAATAAATTTGATAATACTATCAAAGAGGATCTGATACTATAATTTCAAATATACGAAAGTTTGAATGAATTTAAAACTTATATTTAATTTTCGATCTGGAGTTAATATTATTAAATATGTAATATGTATTACTTAATTATAGAACGTATTATTTTATAAATATTATTTTTTTTATTATTTTAATATTATATTTAAAAATAATATTACTTATTATTTAATAATATTATACATTTATTAATTATTCTCTTAATAATCATAAATAAGTATTTTGTATTTATTTGTACATTTATTGAAACACGATATTCGTGTTTTATGTGATTAAATATAATTATTTTAATTAATATTTATTATCGGCCGTGGAAAGTTATTTACATATATGTTATTTTTCAATTTTTACAACGTTGCAGTACGTATTATTGTGTTTAATTATGAGTCCGCGACTCTTAATTGTTAAAACTTTACGCAATTTAAGCATTTATCACAGTTTAAATATTTAAAATTATATTTTTATTAGTTGATTAATTAATTAATATATATAAGTTGTTGTACTCATCATTATATTGTCTTTAATAATACATGAAAGTTATTATTTATCTTTAATGTTAAAGTCTTCAAACTTTTAAAACATTTACAAATGCTAAATTATTGTTATATAAAATATTGTAAATTATAATATAAAAATACTAAAAATGTAATGCTCATTAAAATATACTTTGAGCACATCAAATTAATGCAAGTATATGCCTCAAGATGTTCAAATTATACTTGCATATAGATGAAGGAAAACGAAAAAAAAAATGCGGATTTAAAATGTTCAAAAATACTCGAATTTATCATTGGATCACAACTTTCTGCATTTTGCGCGGGCACGCGTTTTTTAAAAATGGCGCCAGTACAACTCGCCGCATGTGACGAGTAGCCGGATTCGCATTCGCGGATTGATCGACGTGTGCGACGTGCGTATGTATACACAGCGGTACAATTCTCTGTAGTACATGTTGTTACGGGCTCTCGTGGCCGGTGCGCGACATTGTATCCGCGTGATGTCCGCTGTCACGACGCAGAAGCCGGAAGTGGTGTTCATCCTGGGCGGCCCGGGCGCCGGCAAGGGCACGCTCTGCCGCTACATCGTCGAGCATTATGGTTATGCCCATCTGTCGGCCGGCGATCTGCTGCGCGAGGAACGCGCCAAGCTCGGCTCGGAGTATGGCGAGCTCATCGAGACGCACATCAGGAACGGCACGATCGTCCCCGTGGAGATCACCTGCAGCCTCATCGACCGCGCCATGCAGACCTCCGGGAATCCGCATCACCGGTTTCTCATCGACGGCTTCCCCAGGAATCAGGATAACCTCGACGGTTGGAATAAGGTATCTATCTATCTGCCTCGCCGGGTATCGGCCGAGGGGTCAACCACTATAGGAATCAGTGTACATTTCTTTAGGAATGTAATGCTAGTATTGCGGCAGTACAATACTAGCAACACGCTATCGATACCTCGAGCAATATCTAACAATGCATTAGCAATACTTGGCAATATTGTGCAATAGGTGGCACATGTACATGAAGTAATGTATATGAGGTAGGAGATGGCAATACATGAGATAATAGATGTAGAATATTATTGACAGTACGAAAGCAATACAATAGCAATAGGTACTGGCAATAAAGTATGTTGTATTGCCATAATCAGCTAATCACTGTACATTTTTTTTAGTGGCGGTTGACTCCTCCGTATCGCCTCCGTTATCTTGGATACGTCTTGGATGTGCCTCTTGAATATTTACGTTGCATTAGTTAAACCTGGAACTTCCAATAAATTGTTATCAGACTCTGTCTTCTGTAGTTAAAATGCACATTATGGTTTTTGTGAAAATTTTGGAAAATTGATACACAGAATAGTAAGTATTACGTTTTCCTAAAAGAAACAAAAACGTATAAATTGATATTTAATGAAAGCAAAGTACAGTAGAATATATTGGTATTAAGACGTTGATTCTGTTATATGAAACTTGTATTTAGAACAATTTAATCTTGGTTCATTAAATTATCTTTGTATCATAATTTTAACTTTATAGCTTTGTCATTTAACCTCTGATAAGATAGAGTTAATATAATTATATATATATACATCGTTCACTTACATATATATACATATGTCATATGTATTATATTACTATTATATTAGTATACTTTAAGATTTTAAGCTTCTCTGATAATTGAAGAACTTGCTGCAACAGTGCTAATCTTTATTTTATAATATTTTGTAAAAGCGAAGAGAATGAATTCCTAAAATTCATCACTTTAGAGTTTTAACTTTGGGGTTTATTTTCTCTTCATTATTTAAAATTGTGAATTAGACCAGTATTGCAGCAAACCCTTCAATTAATTGTCACGATGATACAGAGATTATTTAATGAACCAAAATTAAATTGTTCTAAACACAAGCTTCTTATAATAGAATCAACGTTTTAATACTAATGTATTCTGCTGTACTTGCTTCCATTAAATATCTATTTATACGTTTTTTTTTTTTTTCAGGAAAACAATACTATTTTGTCAATATATCAATTACATCAATTTTCCAAAATTTGTCACTGGACCTCACATATTATAGTTATTTCATTTGTGACATATGTTGATGGCAGGTGATGGCTGACAAAATTATCCTGAAGGGCGTGATATTCTGCGAGTGCAGCCAGGAAGTTTGTACGCAGCGTTGCCTGAAGCGCGGCGCCAGTGGAAGTGGGCGCAGCGACGACAACGAACAATCTCTGATCTTACGCCATCAGACTTACCTGAAGAATACCTTACCGATAATAGAAATGTACGAGCAGCAAGGCTTAGTTTATAAAGTTAATTCTATGAAAACGCCGGACGAGGTATTTCAGGACGTTAAGGAATTCTTTCCGAAGATAGGATGGTAAAATGACACGTGGTTCTAACAATTTCTTTGATAACAAATCTAATATTATTGGCGCATTGGCGTTTTTTCTGATTCTTATTTTGTGGTGTAGACACTTTTACATGGGATAGCACTTATATTTTATAGCTTTTTTTCGTTTATTTTATGGAAGGTTTATATTTGATTTCATCACTGATATATGAGTATTTTATTTCAGTTTTTGTAACACGTTACAGCTTATGTACTGACTGAACATTCCTTCACACTTGTATAATAATGCAAATGGATAATGGGTGTCAACAATTGGAATTCGAAATCTGTAAATATTCTGCCGGCACTTCTAATAGCGGCAGTGTAAATTCTTTGATACAATGTTATATACATATAGCGTGCGCGTTAGAATATACATATAGCATATATATTTACAAAATATTTGGACAATGTGTTATTATTGGACTGTGTATATCAATTGAAAATTGAACGATCGTTAGAAAAAAAAATCGCATTTAATAATGCGGAGGAAAAGTGGCAGAAGAGAGAATATGGAAAAGATGTATATCATGCATTCTTAATTTATATGTAAAAATATATTCATAAAAATTAATATGTCAAGGTATTTCATTTCAAAGTTCCAGTTTATTATTCTCCTTCCAAATTAAAGTCCCAATACTACATACTACTGCTTCAAATAACACCGTTCAACAAATTTAAATTTTTTTTTTCTAGACCACGAACGGCACAAAGTGATTCTTACGGATTTTTTCCGAAAATTCTTTAATTTTTTGAGGAAAATTGCTCCATCATGTCACGTTTTTAAGAAAATTGAACGTAAAAAAACTGAAAATGGCATTTTGAGTATTTTGAGCTAAAGTATCTCAAAAATCTGACGTAGAGCAATTTCATTTATGGATTCGTTTTCAGCGACAAAAAATGTATAAGTTACCTATTGTATTGACTATACCTGCATTTAATGGTTTATAAGTTCGCTGATTATGAATCTGATATCACACACAAAATTATCAAATATAATTTGTTTAAGCAATTAACAAAAATTTGATTTGAATAAAAACTAATAGCACTATTGGATTTTACAAAAAAATATATACATATGTAAGTGCATTGTTTTTCCGCCATCCCATTTGTTAGTTGAGTTAGTGTATTAATGTTGTAAAACAAAAATATAAAAAATTCAAACAAATTGCATAAGCGGTCCTTAAAGGGTTATATTTATTTACGGATTTAAATTCCCTTCTTTTTTTATTATCTAACTATTGCAATTTTTGTATAAAACAATCAATACTGCAGATAACTTTCATAAATTTTTTTGTCACTGAAAACGAATCCGTAAATGAAATTGCTTTATCACGTTATTTAGATATTTTAGCTCAAAAATATTAAAAAATGTTTCGGCACTTAGATTTAATTTTTCAAAAAAAAAAAAATGTGACGTGTTAGAATCCTAGATAACCAAATCAAAAATAGATCTTATAAAATCTTGCTACTTTGTTGGCAAGGATAAATTTAATACAGAAATTGATTTAAATTAGATAAGGTCAACAAAATATTAACAGATATATAAGAAAATCTGTTGACATAATTTGACAGCAAATTAGTGGCAAAATATGGCTACCAGACAGCAATAATTGTCACCAAAAACCGAACAAGATCTGCGTAACGCTATCTTACAATAAATTGTTGTCAAAGAGTTTTACGTATAGCGTTGTCTAACGACAAATTGTCCCTAGAAACCGTAAGTGAGTAGGATCTCTGTTGTCAGTGAATACTTGCAAGATTGCCGCTAAATATTGTTTGTTAGTTTCTCGCATAAAATTTGTCACAAGCTTTCTATATAACTATGTATATAACTCTATATAACTTATAATTATTTGTGCAATATCATGTGAGCACTTAGTACTTAGAAATATGAATAAATGTTTTTACACTAAAAAAACTAATAATGAGTATTTAGAAAATTATTGGATTACTGGTGTATGTACAGAGAACAACGAAAATACTTTTGTGATATCTTTAGATTAGAATATTCTAGGAATCGAATGCTTTAATGTAAAATATATTAATTTTTAATTGATAAAGGCATCCTGGGAGAGGTTCCAAGTTCCAAGTTTAAACCCTAGCTGGCTGCAACATTTTTTGCAGTGTTTTAAAATGCTTATTCGCATCGAATTATTAAAAATTGATGATCAGTGGTGATCTCTGACTCTAATGATTGCGTTGTGTGTTTACAAGTCCGGTATTAATTCGACGCGCACTTTAAATAAATAATGGATTTAAAATTCATATAGAAATATTATTATGCACCAAGATTTAGCCTCGACAATAAAAGGTGCTCTCAAATTTATTTGTTATATTAACTTTTATTAATAAAACAGTTTAAAATTATTCTTTTAAAATAAAATTTAAAAAGGAATAGAAACGATATTTTTAAAGATTTCTCAATATCAATAACTTCACAATTGTGATCCCACTCTAATGATTCAAATAATTGTGTTGCAAGTCCGATCCTGTTGCAAATCCGGGCAAGTATTAATTCGACGCGCAATTTAAATGAATAATAAATTTAAAATTTATATAGAAATATTATTAGGTACCAAGATTTAGTCTCGACAATAGAATTTAACGCGCTCTCAAATTTATTTGTTATATTAACTTTTATTAATAAAACAGTTTAAAATTATATATTCCTATAAAATAAAGTTAAAAAAGAATAAAAACGATATTTAAAAAAATTTTTCAATACCAATAACTTCACAATTTGTTGTCAGATAACGCTGTACGCAAAGCTTATCTTTTTTTATTGCTAATTTGCTGTCTAGTTATATGTGCGCAGGTTTTATTAACAAAACACGAGCTTATAGCTGACACAGATACCGGATTTGTCACCAAATCTTTGAATGAGTTAATACCAAATTGGCGACAATTTACCATCAGTTTACTTACTAGGATAATTTCATTTACGAATTCATTTTCAGTGACAAAGTCTGTAAGAATTATACTTTACCTTGTTGTGTTGTATCTTCGTGTTGTAAAATCCATGTCGGACAGTGTAATTAATATAATTATTGTTGTAATATTTTGCAATTTTGTAATGCAAAAGTATCTCTAGAATCCATGAATTATAAGTTAATGTTAATTAGTTTAAGATAAGCCCATTAACGTTTGATATTATTAAATTGCTAATTAATTTAATTTGTGATATATTATATACTTTAGCTTTAGTTGGAATTGTGTTTCAAGACTGACAAAAGTGATAAATAATCGGCACGCAGTATAATTAATTTGGAACCCTGGAACTGGAAATTGTAAAAATGTACATAAAAATATTATATTAGACACCAAGTCACCAAGATCCCCTTTGATCGATAATGTCGCTCTTCACTTATTGGTATAATTATCTCCTCATCCATATTTTCTCTTATAAATGTTAATTATTTTAAAAGGCTCAAATAATATATTTTCACACGCTCTAATCTGCAAAATATTTATATCTTTTTCTCTCTCACTCGGGGTAAATGAACTTGTTTACGAAGTCTTCTCTATTATTTTTTATTTATCATCGCAAAAAGATTTAAAATCTTTTTCTCTCTCACTCGGGGCAAATGAACTTGAACTTCCCTGTTAAAAAAAATCGATAGTAAACGATAGAAACTGATAGGATTTGCCATGTTATTATTATGGATTAATATGATATTTTATCATGTTTTATCATATCTATCGTTCCATTTTTTCTATTCCAAAAGAAACGTTATTATTTCTTATCGTTTTCTGTAATCCAGGCAGAAATGTTCGGTCCATAGAGTCGATGTCTATAGATGTCGAATCGATCCGTCTATGGACCGATCATGTCTGCTTGGGAATTATTTGATAAAAGCAATTTTAACGATTATATCGTTTTCAATTGATTTTTTTTTAACAGGGTTGTTTACGAAGCCTTTTCTATTATTTTTATTGTCGCAAAAAAATTTAAAATTCCAAAAAACAATATTGCCAAACGTACTTGAATTAATCACGGTGCGTGAAGGTGACGGACAATGTCCTCTTATCACTAATCAAAGTTGATATGTATCATCTTTTTGATATAGCTTTTGCTCGATAGCTGAAGATAACAGTTATCATAAGGTATTCACATAATCATGATTACAATGGCTCGTTAATCCTCGGCAAACATAACGTAACGTTCACGCGTACCGCGATTGAATCATATCCTATTTTGTTGTAGTTATTACTATTATATATATATATATATATATACATATATATATTATATATATATATATATATATATATATACTATCTACATATTTACAGTCACCGACATTGGGCGCGGAGGCTGTCTCTCCGATGTGGGCCTTACGAAAGTTCGTTCACGTTACATTTTTCAACTGCGTTTCGAGAAAGTCGAATACTGGTCAACGTCCCGACGAGCAATCGCATATTACGTAGAGGGGACATTTCCAGCAGCCGGGGGCGAATTTCTTCATGAAACGACGCTGGTAGAAATTCGTACGGCGACTTCACGAAAAATTCCACAGCCAACGAAAGGGCAGTGTTTAAAGACTTTGTGTGTGATTCATGTAATAGACAGGGCTGGGCAAAATACACCATTAAAGTATTTAAAATACAAAATACAAAATACTAGGAATCTTGGTATTTGAATTACAAAATATAAAATACTTTCAATCTTTTGATTTGAAATACAAAATACAAAATACTTTCAATCTTTCGATTTGAAATACAAAATACAAAATACTTTTAAGTAGATCGGAAGAGCACACGTCTGAAC